AAAAAAATAATAAAAGAAATAAAAGAGCAATGTAAGAATCTTTCCACCTACCATCTGTGTCACCAACTTGTCATCATCATCCTTTTTCTATTTATTTATTTATTTATTTATTTATTTATTTATTTATTTATTTATTTATTTATTTATTTTGGGACAGAGTTTCGCTCTCATTACCCAGGCTGGAGTGCAATGGCGCGATCTCGGCTCACTGCAACCTCCGCCTCCTGGGTTCAGGCAATTCTCCTGCCTCAGCCTCCCAAGTAGCTGGGATTACAGGCACGCACCACCATGCCCAGCTAATGTTTTGTATTTTTAGTAGAGACGGGGTTTCACCGTGTTGACCAGGACGGTCTCGATCTCTTGACCTAGTGATCCACCCGCCTCGGCCTCCCAAAGTGCTGGGATTACAGGCTTGAGCCACCGCACCCGGCCTTATTTTTATTTTTATTTTATTTTTCAAATTATTATTTTTTTGAGACAGAGTCTCACTCTGTCGCCCAGGCTGAAGTGCAGTGGCATGATCTCGGCTCACTGCAACCTCTGCCTCCTGGGTTCAGGCGATTCTTCTGCCCCAGCCTCCCAAGTTGCTGGGACTACAGGCGCATGCCGCCATGCCCAGCTAATTTTTTTGTGTTTTTAGTAGAGACGGGGTTTCACCATCTTGGTCAGGCTGGTCTCAAACTCCTGACCTCATGATTCGTCCACCTCCCAAAGTGCTGGGATTACAGGCGTGAGCCACCATGCCCAGCCTCAATTTATTTTTAAAAAGGGGTTTCAACTGGGCATAGTGGCTCACATCTGTAATCCTACTACTTTGGGAAGCTGAGGTGGAAGGATCACTTGAAGCCAGGATTTCAAGACCAGCCTGGGCAACATATCAAGACCCCATCTCTATAAAAATTAAAAAGTAGCCCGGTGTGGTGGTATTTGCTTGTGGTCTCCCAGCTACTCAGGAGGCTGTGGTGGGTAGATCGCTTGAGCCCAGGAGTTTGAGGCTACAGTGAACTATGATCACACCACTGCGCTCCAGCCTGGGTGACAGAGTAAGACCTTGTCTCTAACAAAAATAAAAGAAAGAAACAGTGGCTTCTACTTAAAGAAACGGAAAACAAACAAACAAAAAAACTCTGGAGACAGGCAGTTAGCAACTGCTTATTTCATTTGCCTTTTACTGTGGGTAGCTTTTATATTTAGGAAAAAGTCATCTTACAGTGTGCTGAGCTTGTTACTATTTCTGTGCCATTCCAACCATTTTGTGTTCCTTCACCAGTTTTCTTCATGTTAAGATTACCTGTGCATTTCTCTTCTGGTACAAGTTTCCTGATGTAGTTATTTGTAATAGATACATATGATAACATATTCTCACTACAACCTCCACCGCCCGGGTTCAAGCGATTCTCCTGCCTCAGCCTCCCCAGTGGCTGGGATTACAGGTGCTCACCATCACACTTGGCTAATTCTTGTGTTTTTAGTAGAGATAGGGTTTCGCCATGTTGGTCAGGTTGGTCTTGAACTCCTGACCTCAGATGATCCCCCCTGCCTCAGCCTCCCAAAGTGCTGGGATGGCCTGAGTCACTGCCCCCAGCCTGTATGTAAATTCTACATTTCATATTTGGTATAGGTTATCTTTCTTCAGTTCTTTGATTAGTTAACTGTGGCCTCTGATCCCTTTCACTTTCAAAGTTTCCCAGTTCGTAGAGTAAATTATATGGCCATCCTTGTTCTAAACCTTTTATATACATCGTTTAATCCTCACAGTAATCCTTTGAGGTATATGAGATTATTAACATCATTATACAGGTGTAGAAAGTGAAGCATAGACAAGTGAAATTAACCTGCCTTTGGTCATACTAGGAGTAAGTTGCAGAACCAGAATTCAAGTCCACACAACAGCTTGATTTCTAGTTCGGATACTGGACTGCCCCCACACTGCTGTTCTGAATCCTTACGGTTTCACTCTGCCTGTCATCTTTCCTCTCCCCAGCAAAGTAAAGCAGGTAAAGTAAAACCATAAATTCACAGATGAATTTATGGCTCTCCAGAGTGAATTTCCTCCACTTGCTACTCCCTCCTTTACAAATCTGTCTTCATCTCTACTCAGCCCCACTTTGTCACTCCATTTCAGAGGAAAGGACATCTCTCTTCCTAAAACTTGTATTCTAGCCCCATCTCACCCTGCCTTTTGTTGGACTTTGTCCTCTAAATTACTGTTTTTCTTGGGCCTTCACTTTCCATTGTTCCACTGGCTTTTCCCATTAAGCACATGAAGAAGATTTTTTGTTGTTGTTGAAAATGTATATCACTCTTTCAAGAGTTCTGTTTTACTACTGGGAGAGGTTTTTAAAAGTTTATTAATCATATAATGACAATAAATGGCTGCTAATTATTACCCTATTTAAATTCCAGGTACTGTATGTAATCTCTAATCCTTTTAACAAACTGCAAATATTTTACAGATGAAGAGATGGAAGCTCAGTGGACTACATAACTTTCTTAGCTTATGAATAGTAGCACTGAATTCAGTCTCATATTTGTTTCAATCCAAAGCCCCTTCTATTTCTAGTATAACATGCTCATTTATCACAATTCTTGTAGACTTCCCTTGATGCTCTGCCTGTGTCTTATTGCCCTACAGCTCTCCTTTTTATAGAAAAGCTTTACTTTTCATCTCATTCTAGTAACTTCCACTTCTGTATCAGGATCCTCCAAAGAAACAACCAATAGGAGGTTTTACATATATATGATTTATATATATATATATAAAATAAGAATGTACTCATGTGATTGTGGGGGCTGGCTGGCTGGCAAGTCTGATATCTGTAAAGCAAGCCAGCAGGCTGGAAGCTCAGGCAGGGTTTCTTCAGGAAACCGCAGTTTTTGCTCTTGAGGCCTTCAACTGATTGGATGAAGCCTACCCATATTACCATATTACTAAGGCTAATTTCCTTTACCTAAATTCAATTTATTGTAAATGTTAATATTTACTGATTAGCTTCTAATTGCCCATAGAATCAAGATCAAATTCCTCATCAGGCATAGAAGGCCTTCTGTGATTAGGCCTTTCCTATTCTATCTCCCATTGTGCCTTCTCCATTGCCAAGTCTACTTGTCAGGACATACTGAAATATTTACGGAGCCCCAGATATGCCATGTTGTTTGCTTCCATGTCCTGTACTACTGTTTCTTCTGCCTGGCATGTCCACTACCTCTGTTACTTCCCTGCCTCCCTACCCCTACCTAGAGCATCAAGAAAAATTACTTCAGCACCCAGTTCAGTCTTCTCCTTTGTATAACCTTCCCCAATTCCATGAAGAGATTTGATTATACCTCTTTTCTGGCATCATTGTACCTTGTTCTCAGCTCTACTGTATTCTATACCGTATTCACTTACCTACTATATTCTTTATTTTTTGTTTGTCGCCTTTCAGTAGTCTTCCAGGTATTTCCACTGGCTGACATATTATAGGCACTCATCAAATGTATGGTGGTGGTAGAGATGATGAGGCCGAGTGGATCACAAGTTATTTAAGTAAGGACATGCCACCATATCAGGTTTTCCTGGGCCTGGACTACATATAGAGGAGAATGGTAGACAGTTCTGATAGTCTTCCTTATCCCTTCTAGAGGCTGCTGCTCCAACCTTAGCACCAGATTCCTTTTGATCTATAGTTTTTGTGATAATCTGATACCTATTCTCAGCCTTCATATATTGCTTTTGTTTTATTATGCTGTATCCTTGAGGCAGTTAAAAAGAAAGACACAGTTAAATTACTATTAAATTTCATCACAAGAGGAATTATGCATCAGCTTGTTTCTCATGTGCCAAAAAGTCTTTTCTCAGCCAGTAAAAAGAAAATTATTTTTTCAGTAGTTTTAAAATCTTCCTGTGTCCCCAAAATGTCTCCATGCATTTAATGTCAAATTAAAAAACAAGCCAAGGCTGGGTGCAGTGGTGCATACTTGTGGTCCCAGCTACATATGAGGCTGGGACAGGGGGATCACTTGAGCACAGGAGCTCAAGGCTGTCATGCTCTATGATCGTACCTGTGAATAGCCACTGCGCTCCAGCCTGGGCAACATAGTGAGACCTCATCTCTAAAATTATTAGATGCTGGGCACAGTGGTTCACACCTGTAATCCCAGCATTTTGGGAGGCTGAGGCAGGTGGGTCACATGAAGTCAGGAGTTCCAGACCAGCCTGGCCATGTAACATGGTGAAACTCCGTCTCTACTAAAAATTAGCCGGGCATGGTGGTGGGCACTGTAATCCCAGCTACTTGGGAGGATGAGGCAAGAGAATCCTTGAACCCAGGAGGCAGAGGTTGCAGTGAGCCAAGATTGCACCACTGCACTCCAGTCTGGGGGACAGAGTGAGACTCCACCTCAAGAAAAAACATTGTTAGGAAAAATGTCTATGTTAACCCTGAGAGGACAAATAATGGCTTTTAAAGATTGTTAATAGAATAATGAAGACCTATTGTGTTTTTAACAAGAAAATTTTAGGTGACCAAGGGTCCTGCTCTAACACATTGGCGTCATAGGATAGTAGAATGGTCAGCATCTCAATTTAGACATGTTACTTCCTGCTCTAAATACACTTGTAGATGCTACTTGTGGTGTAACTCCTTATGTATTTAATATTTATCTGACTCTTGGTTTTCTTGGTTGATTTTTTAAATGGGTAAAGACTATAGTTATGAATTATTTGCCCTTTATGGAATGTGATATCTTGGTTTTTATTCCATCCGTTACTCCCCTTTTACTTAATTTTACCTTATGTTTTGCATTGTGTTTCTAAAATAATGGCTTTGGCTCGTTTTTTCCTGAATGTTTCTGCAGTTTGGTTTGAGTATCTGGCTTTGGGCACCACTCCTGAACTTGGACTCCATCTTTACTTGTGACTTTTGGAAGGCAGAAGTCAGTGTTTTCTGTGGAAGATGACCTTTTTTTAATAGTATATATGTGTATCTCCCCCTCCCCCTTTTGGTTTCTCTTAAAAGACTGGAAAGAAAGCAGTTAAAGCGGTTCTGTGGGTCTCAGCAGATGGACTCAGAGTTGTGGATGAAAAAACTAAGGTAAGATTCTTTTTTTTAATTTTTTTTATGTTATTTGTTTATTTTTTTGGAGATGGAGTTTTATTCTTGTCTCACAAGCTGGAGTGCAATGGCATGATCTAGGCTCACTGCACCCTCTGCCTCCCGGGTTCAAGCGATTCTCCTGCCTCAGCCTTTGGAGAAGCTGGGATTACCAGTGTATGCCACCTTGCCTGGCTAATTTTTGCATTATTAGTAGAGACAGGGTTTCACTATGTTGGCCAGGCTGGTCTCAAACTCCTGACCTCAGGTGATCCACTCACCTCAGCTTCCCAAAATGCTGGGATTACAGGATTGAGCCACGGCATCTGGCCTCATGGTAAGATTCTTATAAGCTTAAACAGGACTGCTCATAATTTTTTTTTGTTTTTTGTTTTTTGAGGCGGAGTCTTACTCTGTCACCCAGGCAGGAGTGCAATGGTGCAATCTCGATTCACTGCAACTTTGGCCTCCCAGGTTCAAGTGATTCTCTGCCTCAGCCTCTCAAGTAGCTGGGATTACAGGCACCCGCCACCACGCCCAGCTAATTTTTGTATTTTCAGTGGAGATGGGATTTTACCAGGTTGGCCAAGCTGGTCTTGAACTCCTGACCTCAGGTGATCCACCTGCCTTGGCCTCCCAAAGTGCTGGTTTTACAGGCATGAGCCACCGCGCCCAGTGACTGCTCTTAATGTTTTTAAAAATCTCCAATGATCCAATATAATACCCTTAAGCTGTTTGATGTCACTCTTTATTCTTCCACTTAGTCCAAAGTACAGTCTTCTGAGAGACTGTTTAATGTTCAGTAAACCACTTTAGTTACTCATTTACTTTATGAAAAATAGTATTCTCTCAACATTTTGTTCTACATGACATAGCATGTCTAAGATACTAAGCATTAGCATTCAATGTTAAGATCTGGGTTTTATTTTTGTTTTTGGTTTTTGAGATGGAGTTATGCTTTTGTTGCCCAGGCTGGAGTGCAGTGGCAAGTAGCTGGGATTATAAGCATGTGTAACCATGCCCCAATAATTTTTGTATTTTTAGTACAGACAAGTTTACACCATGTTGGTCTGGCTGGTCTTGAACTTTTGACCTCAAATGATCCACTCACCTTGGCCTCCCAGAGTGCTGTGATTATAGGCACAAGCCACTGCCCCCGGCCTTCTTTTGTTCTTAGACTTTTTTTTTAAAGTTTCAACTCCACACATTTGATATAAAAGATGATAGACTATGCTTTTAATATATTTTAAAATTTAAAAAAAGATGGACTCCACATTTAAAATTTCTTCTTCCTCTGAAGAAGACACTATTTTAAAAAAATGATATTTGAACTAAGTAACCTGGCTTTTGACTCAAAACTCAATTTAAGTGACATTTTAAAGACTAGTAAATAGCTCTTTGGTTAACATTTACTTAGAATCCAAATAATATCTCAAATCATAGGTAGTATTTTGCATTTGAGAGGAAGTGATCCTAAACAAGAATGGAGACACAGCTCTACTCCTAGAAAGCATAAGGTGTTATAAGTACATTTAATTATTAATTAAAATTTCCTAGAAGACCTATAAAGTTAGGAAGAAAATGTAACAAGAAGATAATTTTTCTTAAATGCAGATGCCACTGAAAGGGGAGAAAGTCTGGCAGGTAAAAAGCAGTTTCGATAGGCAACTTGCCTGGTAAATTTCAAGTGATTTAATGGAGCTGCATTTTAGTTATTTGACCTTACAGTGCATCCTTTTAAGTTCGAGAGAAGCAGTAGTCTAAAATTTTAGTAAGATACTGTTGGAAACAGTGATCATTTTAATTAGCTTATTTTTAGGAACTTGTGTAGTTTTCATTAGTGTTTGGATGAAATTTATTATACTTGAAAGCTATGCGTTCAATTGTTTTATGCAATAGTTGGAAAGTGATATTGCCCCCTTGTGGCTGCTTAGACCACTGGCATTCATTAGTTCAGTTTTTTTCCCACATTGTATAGTAGTAATTAGTAGTAATTGGTGGCTTGTCACCATTGGGGTCATCTTCCCACCTTGTATTTCAGTATAAGCAGGAACCAATACAATGTTGGGATCAGGTTTGTGATAACACCATCCCATGATATGCACAAATTTTTGTAGAACAGAAGCTGAAATCTGAAGCCCTTAACCTTTGAGCAAGAAGCTCTGTCAGACTGCCTTCCTCTCCCATCTCCCACCTCATGTCTATCTTGATTCTGGTAGCTTTCCTACCTTTTTTTTTTTTTTTTTTTTT